TATTTCAATGTTTATGTTGAAATGACCCAACTTCTTTGAGGTACAGCTTAAAAACTAGGGTATGCTCATCACTTGAAACTAGCTTTAAATCAAAGTTTTATCTATAGTCCTTTTATTAGAATTAAAATCATTCATGGGAAAATGCGCCAAAGGGTTGAAATTGCCCTTGCAAATGTACACTATTTTTGAAATGTTTCGGATAGTATTTTGAAAAGGTGTTTTGGAAGGAAAATATGTCTTGAACAACACTGATTGACCCTTAAACTATGACTAGTGTTATGTAAATCACAGAAAATTGAGAAAAATCTGGTCCATACATAATGCTTTGGATGCTACGGCCTATGGAAAAATTTAGAAAATTGAATAAGTCAAGAATAAAATTTGACTATGCTCATCATCCGAATCCAGGTTTTTCTAATTGCTTTTTGATCTGGGTTTCTAGCAATACCAGTAATTATGCGACCACAAAATATGCGGCCACAAAATATAAAGATGTTGACATTTGATGTTGTCATATATTGCCATTCTCTTATCATAGCATAACTTAACTTATTTTAGTGTGTTTGTTAAAGAGTTGCGCTCACTATATATCTGTAATATCTAATATTTTTCATGGCATTGTATGAGCAATTTAAGTTGTGGTTTCTTTAGGTGATACTGATAGTATCTGTTCATTCGAGTGTTGTCAAGCCATATAACAAACGTACTTGCAGGGAGGTGAGTCCGGGATTGGACGCACAGAGGGTGGCTGGAAGTTTCCCGAACTTACCGAGCGAAGCGAGGTGAGTTCGGGAAACTTCCAGCCACCCGAGGTGCGTCCAATCCCGGACTCACCGAACCTGCAAGTACGTTTGGTTTTTATCCCATACACCGAGGCTGACCGAGCCATACACACATTTGTAGCTCTTCGCGATATATTCGTCGATGTTTTGTGAACATTTTCCTGGCCAAAAAAATCACTGGGCAAGAAAATACTTCTTTATCTACGTCTACATTACCTTTACTGCTTTTTTTCTTTGGTTTTTCTTCAGTCTCAGTATATGTTAGTCACCGAAAAAGTTCTTTAAAGTTTAGGTTTATCGGCTAAATCTTGTCCGCCATATTTGTTATTGTTATTGCAACGTAAGCAGTTTAGCGGGTGAGTTCGGGCGAAAAGCAGGTGAGTTCGGCAAAAAGCAGGTGAGCTCGACGACAAGCTCACCTGCTCTAAACCAATCAGAAAGCCGCTTTTAACACAGGTATGGGATAATATTTCGAACGCACGCGTATTTGAAGCCAAAGTATAAATTTGTTACTTATACGCACGCAACTGAGCACTTAAAGTCCTAACAACGATCAAATACATGTGAGAAAATATGGAAATTATTACGCGAACAATTAAGTGTGGTATTCGTTGATACAGAAATGCGATATACAGCCATTGTCCTAGTAACTTTCTCAGTATTTTGTTTTAAAGCTGTCAGCCTGCAATACAGCGTGCATTCGCGTAGGCATGCTTGCATTTGATAATATTATTTCTATAATCTACAGAAATATTATATAAAATTTTTATAACTCTAGTCTTGAATTGTTCCCATGCTTCACGCACAATCTGCGAGTCTCTAACTTGAGCATCAAGCTGCTTCTCAACTATGTTTTAACTATATGTGAAACAAGATTTCTATTGGATTTAAGTCTTGAGATCTCGCTCGGATACAAAATAACTCACACTCTTAATAGCTATCTTTGCTGCCTAGGCTTTGTAGAGACGGATCGTTGTCCATTATATGAACCATTTTCTTCCACGCGCACTGGAAATTTGTTTTTTACGAACTCAGCGATATAGGTATTGGTCATCTTTTCTTATTATTCTACCAATAGAACTCCATTGTTGTGAGAAATAACGACCAGTAAGTGAAGTCGTTTTCCACCCGCAAGGTTTTAGATCCTTTTCCAGTAAATTGTAAATTCCGCTCTTTCTTCTAGGGGCTAAAGCCTCACTACTAGACTGTGTCTTATATACAGAAGAAACCCGTAATAATCAATGGCTGCTTTCACCTCCCTATAAAATGTCCTACAGAAAATATGATGTGACATCAGCCTGCTGTGCACAACTAAGCGCTTAACAGTAAAATTTGGGTCTTTATCACGAAGAGTTTTTATTATTCTTATTAATTTTCTCCAATCTCTATCTGACAGCTTCTTTGATCTACAAAGTTTCTTGCATGATTTCAAATCTTGCTTGCGCTGAACTTTTCCTCTCAGATAAGAGAGACTGACGATTTAGATATTTTTGCTTGTTTTGCAATCGCTCTGCAAGAATATCGTTTCTCTTTGCCTAGGAATAGCACATAATGTATGCTCGCGTTCTATCCAAAATAGTTGTTTTATGTATAAGCCATTATTACTTGGTTTGTATATAACTACTTCTTATTTATAGCATGCATACTGTGCGCTTTATAATACTACAGCTTTGAATTAACTCAGCAAAGCACCGAGCGAAAGCCGTTGCAATGCTTCTTTGTTCATCACGCCGAATATGTCTATGGAGAGGAAACATTCGCCATCTTTTCCACATTCATCATTTCTGTGTTCACGCGATCAATAGATCCATTGTTAATTATATCGGTGGGGCGTCACACGTTGCAAAGAATGGCGTGCCACTCTCGAACGCCAGAGTTGGGCAAAATCAACGAGTGAAAACGTTGCAAAAGCATACTTAGATATACAAATAACAGCAAATCATTATACGCTTTATTTTACGAATAAGTAATTAAAATAGTAATGCATGGTTGCAGGAATATATAATAAACTAAACACTGTCCCAGAACACCGTGTGCACTCCATTTTATATCATTCCAGGACAGTGTTCCAAATGTTCTAGAACAGTAAATGGAGCAGCCTGTTGGTTTCGGCTGGTCTGGTTTGCAACCTGATTGGTCAATGATTTTGAATGTAATTTTTCAATGTATGTAAAAATAATTATTATTTTGGTGCAACGAGAGTGCAGTGACAAATTCATAATTAGTTCTTGAAAGACTAAATTTTTGAGTAAATATGATTTTTGAAAATTCGCTTGAGATACAGCATGAATTAGGGAAAGAAAATTTTTCACAAAACTATCTGGTCCAAATTAAAGGGGCAGAGTCAATGTCGGCGCATCTGTTCTGCGCACAGCAAACTTGAAAAACTACAGCCTTATATTTTCAAGTTTATGATTCAAGATGGCGGTCATTTGCGAGTGAGCACATTGCAAGAGAGGCAAAAATTTCGGCAGATAAATGTCAATACAAGGCTGATGAAACTCTTAAATTATACCGATTCCTGAATATATTCGAGGCAAAAAGCATGATGAATGTAATGATCTTTATTTCATTGCAATAGCTTGTATAGCTTTTACGTTCCATTAAATCAAACAGTGTCCAGTTTTTTGGGGGGGCACGCAGAGGTTATTCGCCTTAACGATTTCACTTAAAAACATGACTAATTTTAATTTTTTAGGTTAGGAATGGGATTGGGTTAAGATAACAGGTGTTTCCTGTCATTTCTTGAGTATAACAACAAAAATGTTTCGAAGAATAAAGAAGAAACAGCAATAGTGTATAACTTTTACTCCTTGTCAGGCGCCATATTGAATTTTGTGGCCGTGTCAGAAAACGCCTGGTGACTAGTTGCTCTGACGGATCTGAATCAATCTAGTTCCCCGATCGGAGCATGCCCTTTTAGAGGTTCAGGGTGGGCATAGCTCTGAAGAAATAGAATTGATTCACGTTGGATTTCCAGCGTCATGAGATCTACGCATGCTTGGCAATTGTTGCAAAATATAAATAAAGCATTTAATAGACTTTCTCGTCGAAAATGTGATACTTTTATTTGTATTGAAGTCGATTGAAAACAACTAAAAATTCTGGGCAGAATATATGTACGAAAGCTTTGGATTGATAGGGATACAACTACCTGAAAAATACAAGGAGAACTTCAACGTTTCGAGCGAAGGCCCTTCGACTTCTACTGTTAGTATTTGACATATATCGTATACTTGACCTTTTATACTGTCTGTATTCATGATAAATATAAACTCCTCAAGAATGAGAGAATGTTTGTTGTGAAGTGTGGACCTAACACTACATATACCATAAAGTCCGACAGGAGAGTAAAATTTAAATTTCAAAGCACACACACAGACATAGTATACGAGAGCAACGTCAATAATCCAATGTCAAGGAAATTTAAACCTTTAGTCCAGTTTTAAAGACATCAACCGCAGGTCCACACTTCACAGCAAACATTCTTTCATTCTTGAGGAGATTATATTTCTAAGGTCAAGTACGATGAATAGAAACAGTGTCACACACTATTACAATACAAGTCGAAGCGAAAATTTAAATCTCAAAAAGCACATACACAGACATAGTATACGAGAATAATCCAATGATCAATAATTCCAATGACAAGGAAATTTAAACCTTTAGTCCAGTTTTAAAGACATTTTCCCCAGAATTGTTAGTTGTTTTAAGTCGATTTCAGTGTAAAGAGTATCAAATTTCCGACGAGAAATTCTAAATACTTTGTTTATATATCTGCCACTAGCCAATCACAGACCACCCTTAACCTGCGAACGGGCAGGTTCAGGCAACGAGATTGGATCTGAATAGCCCTAACCACGGTTTGGGTATGCAGTCTAGCTTGCACTAAAATAAGAAAATAATTAAAATGTATCTTCGTGGAAAGGCAACAATTCTAGTACTAGTTATATGATTTACGTATTGCTTTGTTATGGAACAAGTTTTTGGCTTCTTCAAATTCTGTTGTCGGTAAGATTGTTTACTATCTTTTTAATACTATTAATAAACCATGTTTATATATAAAACGACGATGTTAATTTCGACGATATTCTACATCAAGTCAGGAAATAGAAAGTTAATTAAAGTATACAGTCAAAAGCAAAAGTGAAATTTACAATCCAAGCAGATTGTGGGAGTGAGATATTTTATAAGGTGAAATGTACTATAAATCGCCTCATGAAATTAGCAAGTGGACTGTGAAGTCGTGAGCGCTATATTGGCCGTATACGTACGAAAGTAAATTGCTGAGATTAACCGTCTTGCGTGACAACTAGCTGAGCAACTTTCTCTCTTGCATGTGCGGATAGTTTTTGTGAGGATTTGACCTCTCGAGGTCTTGAAAAAATATCTATCGTATCTGATATTTTTCACCTCGTGAGGAAAAAATCTCAACGTCCGCGGATGTTGCGAGCTAAGTGCTGAGCTGCTTGAATCAATTAGCCAATGAGAAACCATAGTTTCTTCATGTGACTTTGAACGAAATGGAGGAAAATGCAAACGATTTTGTCAATTATGTTGTTGTTGAGTAGTTTTCCCAACGTGCGCGATGAAAATGTATAGCTGAGAGCCGCCATTCGAGGCGGATAACTCAGCAAGTTTCACTCGTGTACGGAAAACTACTCAAGCACAACATAATTGACAAAATCGTTTGCATATTCCTCCATTTTGTTCAAAGTTACATGAAAAAATTATGGTTTCTCATTGGCTAATTGATTCAAGCAGCTCAGTACTAAGCTCACTACATCCGCAGACGCTGAGATTTTTTCCTCGTGAGATGAAAAACATCAAACACGATATATAGATATTTTCCTCGAGGCCTCAAGAGGACAAATCCTCACGAAAACTATCCGCACACGAGAGAAGCTTGCTGAGTTAGCTGCTGGTTTAGATGACGGTCGCAAGCATCGTAGGTCGAAGGAAGCTGACGATTCTGCATGTTAATATCTTGGGTTTAGTGCATGTTATAAAGATAACAATATCACCATTCGATTCAATGAAACAATATCAACTAATTCTTAACGATAGTTTTAAGTCAAAGTCAACATTATAGCGATTTATGGCCTCTGAAGTGTATTCAGGGCAGTAGCTAAGAAGATAAAAAAGGGGATGGTGTGTAGAATCGCACTAATATTTCCCCCCCAAAATTGTTGACGAGCGGGGTGGGGGGGGCAGGGAGGTCGCCGGTCGTCGAATTTTTTTCCGGACATACAAACATTTTTCCGGACATATCGTAATTTTTCCGAACATATCAAAATTTGTTCATTTCCCCCTTAATTTTAGCAAATTTAGCAAAATTTTTCCTATAGCTATTACTTTCTATTCCGAGCCACACAAATATTTTCGCTGACTACGAAAACAATTTGCCGATAAATCCGAAAGCAATTTTCCGAGTCTTGCAGACATTTGCCGAGTCCGTGATGAATGGAGAGTGTTACACCCCCTCTAGCTACGCCCCTAAGTGTATTATAAAATTGCGCAATATTACTCAATAAATATAAACTAGCCATACCGTATATACCTTTCGCCGAACATAACTTTGGCCCCTTGGATCGTATCGTGTTCGTAATAGTTGACCTGCATCTAAAGACGAAAGCGGACTTATATTCATTTATGCAATGTTCTTTCGTCAAAATCCCGCTGAATTCGCTAGGAAACATCGTTGCTTCTCGGCAAGCAATTTTTGTTTCCACAACAATGTTTCCACAGGTAGGCAAACAGGGAAACATTTAGGAAACAACAAATTCACAAATGTTTCCACAACAATGTTTTCTAGTTTGCTCAGGGCTTAAATTTCCGTGTTTGGGTCGATGGCCTGATCCAAACACGGGTTTCGACCAATCAGAGCACGCGTTATATATACATGTTATTTTATAAATCAAATTACTCTGCTTACTTCAATTTGTGCCGTCTTAACATTAAATACCAATTACAATATGCTCACTGGCAAAAAAAGCACTGTCGCTCAAATATTTTCTCTGTCAAAGTGACAAAAAAACAAAAAAGCGGCGGTCAATGTTCTAAAATCGATCACCGGGGTCTTTGATCGGTGACCGGCCGTTTTTGCAGCCACCTCTGTCACCGTTTTCCGGGACATGATAATGCTTTTGGAGTCGATTCAACTCTTTGAAATTTACAGTATACAAAATAGTGTAAGCTAGAAAATACATGCATGCAGCAACGCCTCGCTTTTCTTAACAGATGAAGTATAACAACCCCACATAAAGTATTAAGACCATTATAAACAAACATAAAAACACAATTGATGCGCTAGCTTTATAATTATAATGAACGATAACATTAACGTGCAATTTCATGCATACCAGCTTGCATTAAAGTGAATTATCGAGTTAAGAATGGCTTAAAAATTTCACAGATATGAGTAAAACCGACAACACAAAGCAAGTACGGCATGGAATTTTACCACTGAAATGTTTACACTTACCCAACCGGCACAGCAACGATTAAATTATCAAAGACATTAGACATCAACGTCAAAACATCAAAACAATTATTATACAAACTTTGTTTCACTGTTGAACAGCCACTAATTCATGAAACTCACAAACTACAAGCTTATTTCCAGTTAAAATCGAGAAAATAACCGTTTTGTACTTTTGTAAACTTTTTAACGAAATTTAAAACAAAAAATTGCTGTAAAACAGCAAAATACGTCCTTTCAAAATGAACAGCAATTACTTCGACAGATTTTGTACTCGCGCATGCGCATAACGTCGAGAACCGTCTATGACATAAACAAAATGGAGGACAACTTTGCACTCCGCTATGTTTTCACATACCCGGGTATAATTAGCCGTGCGGAATTAGTACCCTTGCACGGCGTTTCGCGCCGCCGGCTCGGGGATAAATTGTTTATTGTCAATATTCTAAACAGTTTTCATTCTTATCTTATACTTAATAGATCACTCACGGACCGCTTTCAGATAAATTTTACATCACTGAACAAACTAGTTTTCATCTATTTATCTCTTCGTCTCCTGACGGATGGCGTGGAAGAATTTCTAATCCTACCAACTGCTTGGTATTACATCAAGAATCTTGGAGAGACAAATACATTTCTTGGTTTCACCCTAGCTGCTTATTCAGCAGGAACGTTGGTGTTTGCACCATTTATCGGACTTCTGGCAGTTAAATGCGAAGCATCAAAGTCTCTCGTTGTCATGTGTGGTTTAGTGAAATTATTTGGTAATGTTCTGTACTCGATACCCGTCAATGGATATTTCCCTTTGTTTGGGAGATTCATAAGTGGTATAGGTGAAGGAACAACGGGAGTGCTCTATGGAGCCGTGACAAAGTGCACTACTAACGAAAATCGTGCAAAAGCATTTTTATATTTCGATGGTCTCTACTGTATTGGCGAAGTATGTGGTCCAGCAATTGGAAGTCTTCTCATATTCAACTTCAATATATTAGGTGGGATATAGGTAATTAGCTAGTGATATGGTTTTATTTACACACGTTAAACGGGAGAGATTACTTTACTATATAAATTATAATGGGGGCAAAAATAACTCTATTATCAGTTTTTCAGAAGCGGTTAGGTATCAACAAATCAATGTCACACGTGATGTACAGTAAAATTTTAATTTCTCGTTGGCTACCTGACGATTATCAATGATCCTTAACAATTATACCATCAACTCGAGTCGTATATATGAGCCGATAGTACATGAGCTGTCTTATAATATGTTATAATATAAGTGTGACATAACAGACGATTTGATTGGCTAGTGCGAGTCCATTGTGACGCAATAATGCACTGTGATCCGTGCAGGCACTGTCTTGCTCTTTCTCTGTTTTTTTTCCCTCTTCATCACAGCTTTTTAGCAAAAAATAGAAACGAAACTATGTAGCTTTTAGAATACAAAATGTATCAGAAAGCAAGAAGGAGTAGAACAAAGGAACAAAGCAATTTTCTATAGTTCTACGCGTAAAATTAACCAGCTTGGCATTCGTCGAATTTGTTGTTGTCTCGACAAGATTTGGGGAAAACCGTAAAATATCCGAGAAAAAATTTGAAAAAGATACAGGAATACTAAATTCATACAAAAAGGCAACAAAAACAGAATATAAGTGACTTAGAAAGTACCTTCAATTCTTCTGATAATAACTGCTAGATATATTTTTGGCGAAAGACAAAAAATACAATAATTTCGAAAATTAAAACTGAGTATAACCACGACGAAACCTACGATTTACCGTCTTTTATAGCAAATCCAGCAGGCCAGATGCTGAAAAACTTTGGCAAATTAGTCTGTGTCTCACTGTTTTGTTTTTATTTCTACTATTTTAAACAATTTTTCCGGCCTTTAATAGCATCAAAAATTTGTATATTGTTTTGGCAATTTTGCCGCTCCTTCGCTCGCTTAAAAATTCAAGCTACATCAAAAGCATGCGCGTGACGTCACTGAGTATATGTTAGGAGAATTTCAACGTCGATCTTTTGAGTAAAATTGTTTACTATGTAATATCTTTTACTTATATTATAAAAGAAATAGAAAAACTCGTCTCATGCGTTTATCCCCGAGCCAACGGCGCGGAGCGCCGTTTCGGGCGTTAGCTCGGTGCGAGGGTACTAATTTTTCCCGGCTATTTACACGCGGGGAAAGGAACGCACTAGCAAAGTCTAAAGTCCATCAAATACCGAGGGCGCATGGCTATGATCCAGGAGTTATAATTAATTCATGTCTTATCATTTCGCTCCAATTTTGTCGCTGTCCAATCTACTAGTTTTGTCGCTGTCCAATCTACTAAAATCTCTAAAAATATTCTGCATGTTGATCTCTTTGTTTTCAGAGTTCCCTCTGTAGTATAGTGATGAGCGTTTTACATATGTGACTGTATTGTATCTTGATATGGAGAATTCAGACTGTCTTCCGATATAGGATGGAGTGTTTTCAAAAGTATATTACAAAATATTATCCCCAAGCCAACGGCGCGGAGCGCCGTTACGGACGTAAGCCTGGGACGACGGTACTAATTCCGTCCGGCTATTTACACCATGGGAAAGGAGCGCACTAGCAAAATCTAAAGTTCATCAATAATCGCAAGCGCATGGTCATGGTTCACCACCGTTCATGGGTGGTCATCCTCACTGATCTCAAAATATGTAGCGGACTGTCGTGAATAGCGAGCACTAATTGGTCAAATTTGAAATTTGCATTATAACGACATCATAACAACAGCTAAATAACAAACATTTCTTGCAAATATATTGTATTTTTGCAAGATTTTGCAAACTTCAAAACCTTTTTAAGAAATAAGCCTAAAACGTCTAAAAGAAGGGAGCAAAGACGCCAACGTTAATGAAGGTAAGTTTGTTTTTGTTGTCGATGCATTGTTTACTTTATAATTGCTTTAAAAACTGATACGATCGTTGCGCATATAAATGCAGCATACTTATTTCATTGTATTTTTAAGCAAATTTATATATAACAATATATAAATTCAAGTTAATGAGACAACACGTTTGTCACCTTCAAACCTGATTATAATCTCATAGCAGTGGCGTAGCAAACTCGATAATTGGGGGGGGCACATATTCATATATTCGTGTTCTGCCTTATTAATTTCTTTTGAAATCAATTGTTTTTAAGGTCAGTGAACACGAATATATGAATATGTGCCCCCCCAATTATCGAGTTTGCTACGCCACTGTCTCATAGTAACAGGATAAGCTTGTCAACAGCCACAAAAAGGCGATATCCAATAGTCCAAACTTCAAATGTTTCTCTGGGCATGTGTAAAACCGAATGAAAGATCAACTGACCAATCATATGCCAACAACGAACACGCAGAACAAAGGTCAATGTGATAAGGGAGTTCACTTTGACAAATATCCCAACAAAGAGCAATGTCTTGTTACCGAGAACGAAAATTTCCACCCACCCACCCGTTCATGTTCCTGGTATCTGGTGCATTGTATGGGTACTATCTAATGTTATGCAAGGACTGTTCAAGAACAATTTGTCAAGAAAGACTATCGAACAATTTTCTCATGGAAAATTATCGCTATGTAAATACTTAAATGTTCAAACAAATAAATTTTGGTTCGGGGTTGAAGTGTTCCCAATGGTCAACTTCAGGCCCATGCATAGACTCAGGTTATTTATGTAAATATAATCAGTCGAATCGTAGGTACTGTCCAAGGGGATTATCACCCCTTGGTTCAGGTCTATGTCAGAGGGGGTCGCTACTCTTCGGGCAGAGCTCCTATGGAGCATTCAGTCTCTCCTAGCAGGTCTTATATATACGCCTGCGGGATGAAAACATAAGGCTTAATGAGTCTTTGGGTTGACCAGAGTTTGAGAGTATAATGTATATAATTGGTCCACTTCACCCTGAACCCATTCTCCCACAATGATTTGGTGTGTGTTTTACTTATTTTCGGGCTGTTCTTTCACCTAACGTGCTTGAATTATTAATTATTTAATTACCCTTTTTTATATTAAAATCTTTACATAAAGAGGAAAGCAAAATTATTTTCATGCGAGAATTTGAAATCAGTTTATTTTAAACTCAACGTTTACCGATAAAAGGCAGTTTAGCTACTTTCAGTACTTCATGTTCGAATAACAAAATGGTTTTGTCGCGGTGAGGCGAGGGTTTCTGCATGGATGTATTTTCTAGTTTACATATAACTTTGTACTTTAATTTTATTAGGTTGGAAAGTTAATGAAGGGAATTCGCCAGGGGTATTTCTGGCAATCGTTTGGTTATTATTGCTTATTCTGACGATGTTCCTACCAAGTGATCTCGCAGAAAGTTATGAAGCCGAAAACCAACCAAGTATTGACGATACTGATACCGATAGTGATTGTGAAATTAATGAATCTAAATCTAGAGGAACTATTATTGCCTGTCCACCCTCGGCTGTCTTTTGTTTATATTACCTTACCTTCCTAATGGTGATTATATGTACAGTTCCTTACATTTATATTCCGCTATTGGCAAAGTACCATCTAGGATTGGGACTAAATCAAGTGAAATTACTTTACCTCAATAGTTCACTATTTGGCTTCATTGTTTTACTTATCTTTTCTTTCTTGGTGGAAAGAATTTCCGAAAAGAATTGTATTGCCTTCAATGCTGTTTCGTCGATAGTCCCGATTTTAACAACATTTTATTTTGCTCTGTTCTGGGAGAATGATATGCCAGTGAATGCAGCTTATCTTTTGCTTGTTTCTGTGTTATTTATTGGTGCCCAGTTCGTAAACTTTCCTATGATCGCTTCATTGCTATCAAAACTAACACCAGCTGAGGGTGCATCATTTTATCAAAGTCTCGCATATACCGTGGGTCATGCCACCATTATACTCGGTCGTATATTAGCTGGTGCTACGTTTCACAGAATACTAATGATGTACACCTGTTTTTTTCTTACCATATGCTGGTTATTTGGACTTATATGGTTGAGTATTGAATATAAGAACTTGGAAAAAGATGAGAACTGGATTGAAACCAACGCGTCTGTTAAGGATTCGTCTGTGGGTGTCAGCATCAAGGAAAGGGGACCTAAGTTTGAGAATTAGGTAGTGGACCTAACTGTGGGACCGAACTGTACAACCTAACTGTGAGACCTAGACGGTGAACTGAAATATTTCAAAATTGTACGAGGTTTTCATTCTAGGAAGCCACCTTGGTCCATAATATTTTCGCATTTTGAAGGGACAATTCAATCTTTTGAATGATGGTCTTTCATGGGCAAAAAAAACCCCACTTGTTTCTTTCTTGGTCCAACGTCAGCGATACATTTTGGAAACACTAACTACATTTCGTTTTTAAAGACAATGAAACAAGGATTTTTGTACCATTTTCGCATTTTGTATTTGCGTTTAGTATGATATATTCGTCGCGTTTTTAAGAAAATTCGGGGTTTGTAAATATGTAAAATTTGGTCTCTTTCTTGTTTTACAAATAGGTTTTAACCACTAGTTTAATTACCAAGCGATATATTTTGATGATAAAATATTTTAATTAACGAAAGGAGCTGATATTTTCGTTGAAACTCCTATGTTCTACATAGAAAATTAAAACATTTAAATAGAACAAATTGAATTGTCATAAAAGCGCATGCGCGACATTAATTACTGGCCACGAAGACACGTTGCAACCCTTTTAAGTGAAAAACTTATTATAACTAGGAAAATCAATAAATTAAGCATAATTTAAAATCGGTGAACGCAACGTTTTTAACATTAAAAATGTTAGAAAAACGTTAAAATGAAAACATTGAAATAACAAAATCCGGATAGCTCTATCCACCGAAAAGTGATTATTTCCAGGCTATTTAAATAACTGGCCATAAATTCCATGGTGTAGTTTAAAATAAAGTTTAGTATAACGTTAACATTTTTACTTCATATGGGGTTCAATTCATGTCAATAGTTTACAGCTTTTCAGTCATGCGTACAAGGTCAAACAAGTTAAAAAAGTCATTGTCATATCATGCAGAGAGTAGCGCTATCTGGCCATAGTATGACCAGTCTCTGATGTTCATAATACATGTGTATCGACTAACAAAGCCATTCGCTGCATAATTATCCTAGGCATTTTCCACTGTTCTTCGTGATGAACTGCGTGCGGAGTTATTATGCAGAATAAATGCTTCGTATCGGTCCCTGGGCGTGGTTCATTAAACAGTTGTTGATGGGAAGTGAAATGAACTCATCGGATTAAATTTAATGTGTCATCTTGTGCATAAATAATTTAAGAAAAATACAGCAACAGCAGCAGCAGCAGCAGCAGCAGCAGAAATAGCAGCAGCAACAGCAGCAGCAACAGCAACAGCAGCAGCAGTAACAGCAACAGCAACAGCATCAGCAACAACAACAACAACAACAACAACAACGACAACGACAGCGACAACGACAACGACAACAACAACAACAACAACAACAACAACAACGACAACAACGACAACAACGACAACAACAACAACAACAACAACAACAACAACAACAACAACAACAACAACAACAACAACAACAACAACAACAACAACAACAACAACAACAACAACAACAACAACAACAACAACAACAGCGACAGCGACAACGACAACAACAACAACACAACAACAACAACTTTGTAGCTTACTTTGGTATGGTTTGAATATCACGTTAAATGACAAATTACAAAATTGCAAAATAGGGCGAGCGAGGGTTATCACTGAATCTCGATATGATGCTAGTTCCAGCAACCTTTTTAGTAAGCAGGGCTGGGACAATCTTTTAACACATCGGAAAAAGCATAAGGCTATACTAATGTTAAACAATTAACGATCTAACTCCGTTTTATCGCCATAAGTTGTTCGAATCTCGCAGCACAGATCTAGAACATAACTTAAGAAACTCTGAACACGCCTTATTTGGGGGCCTATTATAGTTTCGCGGTTATGCGGTTTTAGCCATATTTCGAGGTCGGATTTCGGTTATATCTAGTTATTTTGTACGGTTTGCGGTTAACTGGAAATCGTGCGGAGACGGAAAATGTCAAAATTAACTCCCCGGATTCGGTTATTGACCAAAATATACAGCGGTTTTCAGATAATTTTTAACATGCGGTTACGAAATATTTTACGACTTCATGGGCCCTTCATGGCATTCATCTTCCGATCACGCGCGTGTGTTGTTCCGCGGGCATCGAAATGAAGAAATTTTGCAAGGCAAAGTGGAAGAGGGCAAAGTGGAAGTGGTAAATATAACATATAACTATGAATATAACCATAGATATAGGAGACCTAGATTGCTGACTCGGCTCAACCGGCGTGGCATATTTTGAAAATCCAAGATGGCGGCTCAACAGGGCAAAAATCATAGAACAACATAGGGAAAAACCACGTTTTTTGCATTTTGCGTCGTCCTACAGCCTCCGTTCCCGTTCTATCACTTTATTTCGGCAAGAACTAACTGGTGTGAAGGTTTTGGATGAATATTTGTTACAACTAATACAATTTACAAATTACAATTCAAGCGGGCAAGATTGGGCAGGCTTGCAGTTTCGCGCGCTTTTCGTCTTTAGTTTCTTCCTGTTTATTCCTTCAGTCTTTTACGAGTTTTTTCTCAAGTAATGTGATATATATCTAACTATTCCAAAAGCTACTACAGTTTATTTTGTTCTTTCATTGTTATTTCGACCAGAATACAGTATTTTCATCTGAAAATTCTAGGGCTTTCTATTCTATTAAAATATCTGGGGGGTTTTATCGAAAAGAATGCTTGAATGTCGGCCTGAATCGTGTTCATCGTATTAGTGCAAGGCAGACGTGGGGATTTAAAAGATGGTATTCGCTTTTCCTTCCATAAGTAAGTCTATGAAACACACACATCATATATTTGTACACTATATAACGTCTATAACTTACATCATATAAACAGAATAGTTTAATATTAATAGAATAAAAACAATTTGTTTTGTAAATACTGTAATGACAACGTCACAACAAATGTAGTTTTGAGTTTGCTAGCTACAATATAAAACTATTTACAGTTTTAATAAAAGAATATTAGACCAAACAACTTGTTTTTATGTCTGTGTCAATCTGTGTTAGGAGTCTCTCTCTCTAGACAACAACTGTCATAGAGGTGCTTGTCCTGTTCAAGGTCAAAAATGTTTTACTTTTGTTCACATCAGTGAACCAAAAATATATCTTTCCCTTTGCACTATTGGATTTCCTAGAACCAATCCCAGCCTGCTAAAAAAATGAAATGGGCAGACTAGATGCCAATCAAATATCCAGTCTTGTCAGGGTTCGTACACTTTCTCCGATTTAAAATTCCATGACTTCCCATGACTATTTTTTTCAAAATGCATGACCTGGAAGTCTGGAATTTCTGAAATATATTCGTTAATATTTCAGTAAAAGAACAAAATTCACTTCGCTCTTGCAAAAATCTGTTATATAACAGCAATTCATATTATTGTTATGACTGGTAAATTAAAAACAGCAATTCATATTATTGTTATGACTGGTAAATTGAAATAGGTAATTTTGATTTTCCAGGATTTCCAGGCCTGGATTTTGGAATATTGAAATTCCATTATTTTCCAGGACCCGTACGAACCCTGTCTTGTGTGAGAAACACTTCACACCCGATGATTATATTAACCCATCGAGTTGCAATGCGCCCTACTTTATTATTTTACTCTGTCTAACGCCAGACAATTTTACTCGTCAAGGGGAGAGCAGTGGCACTTAATGGGTTAACTGGCCTATCTGGCCATGTGTCTAGTTGACCCATTGAGTCGTTTTGTGCCCTATTTTATTATTTTACTCTGTCTAACGCCAGACAATTTTACTCGTCAAGGGAAAGTGCTGATGCTTAAGTCAGCTGTCTCAAGGGGAGAGTGCCTGAAGGGGAGAGTGCTGATTGTGGAGAGCAATCAATTAAAGGCCAATCCAACTTATCCAAGAAATATCTAAACGAAGATGCCGTCCCATCTATTTTTGATTATCGATGATGAATCAATCAGGTTTCTTGGAGAGAACTAGATACTGCATGTGAAGGTTTTTGATGCATACCAGACAAATTAGTCAGTTTCTTCAAACTAGTTTCCATTGAAAACTTTCGCTGTCACTAGTTCTCTCTACAAACCTGATTGATTCATCACTTTTCACTGTCCAGGCCATATAGACTTGAGATCCCTCGACATCTGCAGCAGCAAGGAGGTTGTCAAAGTCACACTATAAACAGAGCATCAGAATTTTCGCACCAGCAGACCAAATAAATCAAGTAAAATAGGTTTTAACTTCAAAATACTTCACAATATTATTCCCTGTTATATATCCCAACCGAGATCCTCGAGAAAAAAAGCACCCAAAGAACCAAAACCTTTATTTTCTGTAACAAAATGTCTGGAACTGCTCAACCGACTATGTGATGATTTTCAGATAACATTTAGCGATCGATTATTTCGTCTTTATTAAACTTAAATTGTACAAATATTCATCCAAAACCTTCACACCAGTTAGTTCTTGCCAAAATAAAGTGATAGAACGGGATCGGAAGCTGTAGGACGACGCAAAATGCGAAAAACATGTTTTTTCCCTATCTCGCTCTATGATTTTTGCCCGGTTGAGCCGCCATTTTGAATGCTCATGAGTGCCACGCTCGTGCGTTATAGAAAACATTAGAGTCAGCAATCTAGGTCTCCTATATCTATGAATATAACCCACTGATCAATATAAGGCATATAACCCAATCGGCTATTGCTTTATTTGCTTATTCAAATGAGTATTCGCTTTTTATGTTAACTCGCTTTTACACGCTTGAAGGCCCTTGATTAGCTTTTCAAAAAAACTTTCGAAGCAACTCATGAGCCATGGCCTGACATAGAAGACGTGCTCGGTCATGGAAGACGTACTAAAATGCGTAGCTTTGTTCTACAAGGCTGGGACGTCTGGCAAAGAATACGTGCGGAAAGAGAAATTCCTTGTCAAGGTTCCACGAGGCGAAGACGGCAAGGAAATCAAACTGGCACATTTGAAGGATATAGTTTGGTATGTACTCATTATACTGTATACCGCTTTTTATTTAAATTAATCACATTATTAATATTAATGAAACTATCTGATTATGGTTCAATTTTGGGGATATTAAATACCCTCAGTTGTTAAATTAAATGGCTCCATATAGGCCATATAACCAAGGCCATCTGATAACACATCAACTATTGGCACTATTGTTACTATATGAAATTACTACATTTATATGGCCTTATATGGCCTTATGTGAACATGGTGGTTACTACAATGGTTGTCAATTTTTGCTTTAATATAAAGCAAAATAGGCATTGTTATTATCAACAAGGGCCAACAAGCACTCTAGCTTAATTAAGGAAAAAATATCACTAGCTATATTTATGCACCTATCAATGTTAACCCCCAGGGGGGGGGGAGGGGGCTGTCGGGCATATGTGGGGTATTTGATCATCAATTGCATCCCCACCCTGGGGATTTTGATTAGCATTTTGATCCCGAGTTTGGGCAGTTTGAACCAAATGACTTCTATTAATTGGTGGGGTATTTGACCAATATTTATTGCCCAATGGTGGGCCATTTGATTGAAAATTTGCTCACCGAATCAAATGCCCCACCTATGCTCGACCCCCCCCCCCCCTGGGGCTTAATACTGGTAGGTGCATTATAATTCAATGATCACTAAAGCCATTGTAATTGCTAAATCTACCTGATTAAAATTTTTATTTAGTGTCCAAGGTGGTTTAATAGAAATTGCGAGGCAAACTGGCTTGAGTGACTTTGGTAAGGAAAGTCAAAAGAAGCTGGATCTCAGAATTGGTAGAATTGATGAAGCTGGAGAGAGGACATCGATCAATACTGACAGCCAAATGGAGCTAGAAATGCCATCAATAAGGAATCATGTCGACAAACTTCAAGGTGATTTTTGTATTCTCATCTATTTGTTAGGTTATTGTTATTGTAAGATTGATATCGATATATTTAATTGATGTGCAGTGTTGTTATACATTAATTAATTGATGTGCAGTGTTGTTATACAGCATACCAGCTATACCATTATTGTACATTGTGTGATTGTGGCTGGCAGGGAAAGTGTTATTAATAGTGCAATATACTCTGGCATATACACTCTAAAAACACTCTGGTTAAATTTGGGTTAATTCAACCAGTACGGGGTTAAAAATCCACCTACACAGGTTAAAAAAAATTAACCATTTTCCTGGTTAAAAGTCAAAAAAAGTGTACCAAATTTTTGTTGAATTGATAATTTTTAACCAGGAAATGGGTTAAATTTAACCAGAATGTGTTGGGTGGATTATTAACCCAATTCCTGGTTGAATTTAACCAGAGTGTTTTTAGAGTGTATATATATATATATATATATATTTATATATATGTATATATATATATATATATATATATATATATATATATATATATATATATATATATATATATATATATATATATATATATATATATATATATATATATATATATAATTGTTATGATTGATCAATACTTTGCTGACAAAAAGGTGAAGCAGAGGGTGTTGTTATTCCAACAAGTGCAGCCTTTACCTCAGTGCATCATCTCACTATTATGAACAATGCATAATATGAAACAGTTGATCTGGTAGTATGTATACAGTGTATTCAAAAATCTGAGAATTAAAGTACTTTCTTAATTTTATTGTGTATTAGTGATGGTATATCCTATAGAAGTTGTGTTTGCACCCAAGAGATCCACAATTGTGATTGAGATTAATGGTAGCAGTAAACCTACATCTTCCTCCTATAATGTTACTTCAACTGGACCAAGACTCCAGAAAGTATTGTCTGAAGAAAGCCAGCAAAACTTAAATGAAGGTATTGTACTGTATCACAAATATAAATCAGACAGTGTTGTAATTCTCTCTCTTCACTTACAGAATTCTTTTAATTTTTCTCACATCATAAGGCTATAACAAGCCTTCAATTTGTAATGACAATGGCTTATATTAATATGCCTAATATTTGGTATTCTTCTGCGTATTAGGCCATTAATTCCTGGCATTTGCTAACCAAGTGCTGCATAGTCATGCCCGTCATGGATGTATACTTGGCCATACATCTCGTTGATGAGAAAGAGACTCCACAATGAAATCCTTAATTTAAAATGCTTCCAATGTGCCCTACTTTAGTATTTAGTCTGCCTAACACCAGACTCTTTACCCATTTGAGAGAAACCCCAAGCCAAAAGCTGTGTCAAACAATTGTATACTGTATCCTTAAACTCGGACCTTCGTATTAATGATACTGTAGCTATGGATTTTGTAGAACTGAGTAAACTGCAAGGAAGCATGTTAATAGCAGACAAGACACTAACTACAAAACTAAGAACTGGAGAAAAAGTTCTGTGGCCGTGGCGTATTGAATGTGGATGTTGCCATGCAGTTCCTGGTGTTATGCTGCGATATGACTCAGATATGCTTGGAAGAGTAGAATGCTTGGAAGAGTAGAATGCTTTAAAAGGCGTAAGTTGATTTGTTGTTGCCTTTGTTATATTAGATTAATTTCCCATTTGCAAAATATTTAATTGATGGTTAATGCCTGAATTTCTAAATTCTTGATTTAGAACACTTTACCAAATGTTCTGAAAAGGCTAAAAGACCACAACCGAAGAGAAATCGATTGATCAAAGATATGTTTGCTAGAGTTCCACCAAAAAGCAAGAAAAAAGATGCTTCTCACCTGCATACAAAGTCTGGAGATAACATTGATTCTGACATTGACTTGTCTGACCAAGAACGTGATGAAGTGTAATTATCAATCAAATAAAATGCATGTTAACGTTAATAAATCCGAACAAATAGTTTTTATGTTCATGTTCCAAGGCCTTCCAAATTTTCAAAGACCTTCAGAACGTTTCAATACCATACAGGCCCATGCATACAAGGAGATATACTAGAGAATATAAAAAAGTGGTCTACAGTAATACTTGGAATATCATAGCATAGGATATGTAGTTTAGCATATTATCACGGTAATAGCATTTTGTAAATGCTGTCAATGAATAAATACGAACTACTGTATTAAAAACCAACTACTTGTTACTGGACCCTACTGGAAATTGGGTTCATTTTTTTACAGGAACCACGTACTATAGGTCTAAATACTAGTTATATACTTTTTAGACATTCTAGCCATTCTAGTGAATACAACATGGATACAGATGATAGTATTGTATGGACTGATAGCGATGAAGAGCTTGAAGATTCTAAAGATAGCGAACCTGCTGATTCTGAAAATGAGCAAATAGATGATGATGTTGATGCAGACACCGATGAAGACGAGCGTTGGATAGCATATGGTGTGCAAAGAGCCGACCCTCTTTGTTACAAGTTTGACGACCTTGTACGTAAAGGTTTAATCGATAAAAATGGAATACTTTATAAGTATCTTACGGACGTTGTTGAGATATTTTATGATCGATGCCATCAGTATGATGGCGACGTCGTTGAATTTTTTAATAGTATTCGCCATCTAGGAGGTAGGAGAACAGTCAACTTCATTCGTGGGCCCATGCATATAGGGCAAGGTAAACGAGGATCTGCGCAGCCCAAGGAGACTTGCAAAATGAACTTAGGTGGCCCATCTGAGACGGTATGCAACAAAGCTCAGGCTGGCTACACGGTTAAATCTGGCGTTATCAAACCAATGAGTCTTGCACATTTAACGCTTGCAACAAACGATGTTAGGCATATTACACCACTCATATCGTCTAACATTGTTCATGTCATATACCTTGCTCACTTAGCAGCGACGGTAACGCAATCAAGCCCAGTATTGAATATGACCCACGCCTCAAAAGGTGCGTTGGCTTAAATTTTGATGTCGATATTGAATTTATAAAGAAAAATCCGGTTGTTACACCGGAATTTTTAAACGAACATATTGTAACTAAGGTTTTGGTTACATCAGTAACAACGCTAGATAACGATGTCAGTATGCCGTGTACTACTAACTACATGCCTAAGGGAGGGAAAACCGGCAATGCTATTTGTGATTCGTTGCTATCTACTATTAAGGTACTGCAAGTTTGCGAAGCCTGTGTTAAGCGTACTGTACCAACAGAACATATCATTGACAACTCCATCATTTGCAAAAGTCGGTGTAACGAGTGTCTTTCTATGAAATCTGTGTGTGTGGAGTGTGCAGAAGCTGGACAGTCTAGCTGTTTGCCATGTCTCAGAGCATGCGACCACTGCTTGGGCTGTGGTATTCTATGCAAACGAAGAGTCTTTCTTGTTGCGACAGCTGACTGCGAAGAAGGGAATAAAAAGGCATTCTACATAATCAAAGAATCAATTGCAGATCAATCGATCGACCCCGAGTTGTCTTTGTTGTCGATCATTCCTGATGTTCCTCATGTCGGAAAAAGCTTAAAGGCTGGTTTCTCAAATTGGTTTCTAAAGATTGGCAAAGAAAGATCAAATCTAGCTGTGATTCGTTCTATGAGAAGCAGATCATCTTCCAACGTGAAAAAAGTCATGACAAAGCTGATCCCAAAGAATGATCACGTTAGAAATAGAGACCGTCAAGACCCCTCTGCAGTTCTTTCCCTCACAGGTGATTCCTTGCTAAATTATCTTTCTAATGTTGGGTTGGTATCTACTACGATAATACCTGAGACATCTAAATTCACCATTGATAATCGTCCAGGAATGTACCCGAGACCAATAAGCGTTGCAATTGGTTCTTATGGATGGATATACGTTCTTTACAATTACGACGAGGTAAATGGATTGTCCGACTTACTGAAAGCTCGATTGCATTCACCTGTGGACAAAGTTAAAATTGTCAACAAGCAAGTGAAGGCGACAAGTGTTCATTTCGCGGAAGGCGTGGTGTACTTATGTGGAGATAACAGTCCCATAACTGTTGTAGATGAAAACAGTGTTCTTGCTTTGGATGTTGGAAAGATAAAGACAGGCCCAGTGGCCAAGCAAGCCCTCCAAACTTATGGGCTACCTGTTCGTGGGACTGTTGCACAGATGAAAGAATGCCTTCAGCAATACAAGAGCAGGGTTAAAGATGAATATGCTGCCAAACGATTTCTGAGTACGACGATAAATTTTTGGAGAAATGAATTCAATGAACAGCCATCCTTTACAGCAATATGTCTTGTTGACGGCAACTTATTGTATGCAGCATGTGCCACAGAAAGTATTATTGCTTCTGTTGTTACTTCTAGAGATGGCATTGGTATGCGCGGCACACTTCAGCGTACTTTTTCGTATGACGAAAGCTGGCGAACTATCCATAGCTTGCGTGTCATTTGCTCTACGGCGAAATTGTTTGTGGTTACAAATTCCGATATCGATATGCTCGACCTTGAAAGTCAGATCGGACATGTTCACGTGGTTGATAATGAAAGAGATGACGTGATATTTTCCGACCCAATCAACCGTAAAATATACCAGTACACTCCTGAGTCAGAGAAAACAGAGATCATTTCTGGTAACGGAGACGAAAACTGCATAGATGGACCTGTTTCACAATGCAGTTATCGACAACCCTACGGTATTGCTGTAGAATTTGACTATGTCGTGTATGTAACTGACGCCATGTCAGGGACTGTCCACATCATCTCTTGTTTGGAAAACACGGTGAAATTTCTACAAGCTATTGGCGGCTTATACAAAAGCTTTTCTGTGCACGACAAAGGCGGCAGCTTTGAAAAACACGATCTTCGCTCAGCACTGGAATTAGTAAGCAAGTGTAAAGATTTTTTGGAAGAAAACGAGCGAGTAATAAACCGAGATGTCACTTCAAAGCTACCACGGACTTTAAATGGTCCCCAAGGAAACGTTGCATCCAAGACTGTTGATTCTGTGCGACTGATTGAATGGGGTTTATCCCGTTTGAAGGATATTGTGGAACAATACAATTACCAGGAAACAAATTTGCTCAGCTGTATGACATTGGACACAGAACACTTTCATTCAACAACTCACTTTAAATGCGAAGTAATGACCATGCTTCAATATGCTCGGTCATTCGGAAATTGTGTCAAGGAGAGCATGAAGAGATTGTCATCTTGGAGTGCGCACTATTTTACGAATCCCAACAGCTGGTATCCATTGCCCGAGGGGACAATTCATTTCAGAGAATTGCCGAAATTAAAGCCTCTACCAGCCGCTAACCAAAGCGACGAAAGTTGCCAACTTTTGAAGGAATTCTCTAGTATTTATGGGAGAGCTGTCAGACAGCGTTCTGGGCGGCAGGAAACAACCATGGCCAAATCTGGTACTTTGCCACCTACTTGCTATCAGGTTAATCTACCGATACAGGAAGTGACTCTTCATCGTCAGCTGGATGAAGAGAATGAGCTGAATGGAATCGTTGGACCAGGGAATCAACCAAACATAGAAGATGCCCAAGATGTTGACTCCAGCGAGGGGGAAGTTGAGTATGATTCCGATGAGAGTGAGCTTGAGTTTGAAGGTGACAATGATCAGCGGAATCAACCTCTTTCAGCAGAACATGCAGCAGATACTCCTGAACTAGCAAGAGAGGCTTTCTTCCTGATCGGCTCCAGGTCAAGATTTGGCAGAACAGTAAGGTTTAATGGGAGATTTGTACAGTAAATTATTTACAATATTTTGGTAAGTTTGACTTCAACCAATAACTACAACCAATAAGTTAGATTTGTCTATAAACTAGTTATAGCTCGACTTTCAAGGGCTTTCAAAGTAGCGTCATTTAAATTCATACCTATACCGGCCTATACTGGCTTATACTTACTCGTTGAATTTGCAAATTAAAACTTTCCAGGCATCTGTATAGGCTTTGTAGACTGTACTTTCCATCGCAGCCAGGAGGCACAGGCCAATGATTCAAAAGAATACTGCATGTTAAAAATTATTTGAACTGCTAAGACTTCGTTTGCTTTGACAATTGCCAAGTTAAATACCACAAAGTTCGCGCGAAACTCGTAAACGGCTCCCTCTTCAATAAATCACGTACCGACTGTTGTCTCACAATATGTTTCAAAATACGTACGCTATCGCATATGGGACATATGCTTCAGTTTGAACGCGGTTACGTTTAAAAGGGAAATGAGTGCGCGGTTTGCGGTTAAAATTTGAAAAACAGCGCGGTTTTCGGAGATGCGTACCCCCTATAATAGGCCCCCTTATTTGTACCTAAACCAAGAACGAACTACGGTAAGCGAAGTTTCAGTTATAGCGGGGCAGTTTTATGGAACGAGTTACCACAAAATGTACGAACAACTTGCTCCCTAAGTCAATTCAAAAGAGCAATTGGCAATCTGATCTCTATATCAGATGGACTCCCGCACGGCAATCTTGTAAATCAGTATTTTAGTGTTTGGATAAGTTTAAAGTGTATATTAATTGTCATAGCGTAATTGTAATTATATATTAGTTAATTATCTTGTAAAATGTTATACTGTAGATTTCACTGTGTTAAAATAAAGTTTTCGATTGATTGATTGATTGAAAATTGTCTGCTGGTGAGAGGCGAAAGCCGAAAGGCCGGTAAATTTACTATAAATCACTGTAGGACTGAAAGTTCTCAAAGTAGCCTGTGCGAGGCGAAAGATCGGATTATATAAATCACTGTAGGAAATATAGGATTTTATAAATCACTGTAGGAAAAGTACCATTACGTAATACGTACGTACTTACAACACACCATAATGCATCGCGCTTAAGCTTGATGAGCCACCAAACTGTTGGGCTCGCTCAGGCTCGCCCCAATTATATGCATGATTTAAATCCGTTTTAAATATATTATCCCAAACGTAATCCGTATAAAAATAATATTCCTAAATGATTCACGCAGAATTGCATTTGTAAAACAAAGCCAAAACATGTAAATTGCACTCAGACTTATTCAGAATAACTTTTGTTCTATATTTGCTGAAATTATCAGCCGGAAATTAAAAGGATTCTGAAAGGAGATATTTGTAGTATAGAGAGTGGCGGTTCTGCGGCGTTTTTTTAGTATTTTAATTTATTCAGGTTCATGTTAATTTATTTGGGCTTACTTGAGATTTTTGAACCGCTGCCGTTTGTTTATGTACATTTTTTAGCTTATTTCTGACTACTTCGCTGCCGTTTGTTTATCTACAGCCTTTTCTTGTTTATTTCTAGCTACTGCGATGCTGTTTGTTTATCTACAGCTTTCTTTTAGTTGAATTTTAGCTACTGCGATGCCGTTTGTTTATGTACAGAGTACAGTTTATATTTTTGGCTACTTCGTTGCTCTATAGTTTTTGTTCGATGACTTGCATTTGTTCGACGACTTGCAAAAAGAAAAGTCATGGCTGCTCGTAAAGAATCGTCTAGTGTAACATCCGAACAGTTTGGTATCGGAACGATCAGCAATCCTGACTTTCGAGTGAATATATATGACCATCTAACGCCCCGCCTTCAATCACTTCTTTACGAAGCTAAAAAATATCAAAAGACGATGGGATACAAGTTCTGTTGGGTCAAAAACAGTTCTATTTGCTTACGAAAAGCTGAAAATTCACGAATTACCAAAATGAAATCACTACAAGATCTTACCAACTTAATACAACAGGAATCAACTGGCAACGACTCAATGCTGAATGATTAAAGCTAAGTATCAGACGTTTTCATTGACTATATCATATGTTTGTTTAATTGATGACGAGTAAACACGAAGTTAATGTACATAAGTCAAATTTTCGTGAACTACCTTTCCACGGTATAATATTATATAATGACTTCTTTCTGACTAGCAGACCTTCAACTGAAAGACAATTAAATAAGCTTACAAGTATTTATGATCTTGACGTATTTAATCTAAATATACGATCAAATTCTAATATTAACCCCGATCAAAATGTGATGAACCACCATATTCATTGCAAATACTATTCTCCTGAGAATTTTACTAAAATCAAAAAGGGTAATCATCGTTTCTCAAATAATCATTTCTCCTTATTTCATAATAATGTAAGTAGTTTAAGAAAGAACTTAGAACATTTACAAGTTCAAATATTAGACGAATTGAAATTTCCTTTTAGTGTTATTGGCATCACAGAGACACGCATTAAAGATACCAACTTAGACGGTTTTAATTACAGCATCCCTGACTACTCATTTGAATTTGTTCCAAACCCTTTAGCTGCTGGAGGGGTTGGAATGTATATTAATAATGAATTTAGTTATACTGTTATTGAAAAATCTGCTAATACAGCTTATCAAGCGCTTTGGATTGAAATTATCATTCTTAGCAAGAAAAATATTATATGCTGTGTCGTATACAGACAACACAATTCACCTGAGACATTCCAAGCGTATTTTGAACAAAAACTAGAGCAATACACATCAACAGGCAAATATGTGTTTATCATGGGTGATTTCAACATAGACCTATTAAAACTTGATAGGTGTAATTATGCACATAATTTTTTATTATATTTACAAAGCTGTTCAATGATTCCTAGCATCGATAAACCCTCGCGCGTCCATGGGGAATCAGCCACATTAATTGACAACATATTTATTAATAACCCTTCCAATGTATTAGTTAGTGGGAACATAATATCTGATGTATAAGGGACCGATCGTTTATTACGTCTCAGGGGAAGGCGGTGGTTTTTTTAAAAACATTATCAATAAAATACGCACCCCCCTATATTTTTTGGAAATGAAAAAATGACCCCACTGTTTAACTATATAGATTAAAATTTTAAAATATACCCCCCCCCCCCACAATTGCACTAGGCATTTCTAGGCATCAAACCTCAGTGCATCAAATATTCGAATTACAAGGCCTCGCGAAATTGCTAATTCAATATAATATCGAATCATATATAAAAGCAAGATTGCGTATTTTAGCATTCAATACAAAACAGGAAAACGTTATACAAAAATATCATATTAATGAATGATATAAACATGTAAAAGTAAAAATGCAATAATATTTATATATTATTATAAAATGTAGATAAAAAAATACTTTTTTTGAAACTTTTTCCGCCATGTTTTTTTTCAGGTGTAAACGATTGACTGCAATCATTCCGTTCAGCGGAGTCACTAAGTGGTGGTTATAGATTCATGTCTCGCTATTTATAATGCTAACCCCAATCCCCAGCCTAACCGCTAACCCTATTAGCGAGACATGAATCTATTTGAACAAACATTGAACTAAACTTTCAACTATAAAGAGTTGAATGCTAAGAACTAGATTCCAGTCTTCTCTATGCAAAAATTGCACACAAGGCGCAATCTTGTTCCCCGAGCATGCCCGTTCGCAGGTTAAGATTGGGCATAGCTCTGGAGAAATCGAATTGATTCACGTTGGATTTCCAACGTGAGTTCTACGCATGCTCGACAATTGTTGCAAAATATAAACAAAGTATTTAGAATTTCTCGTCGAAAATTTGATACTTTTTACACTGAAATCGAATTGAAAACAACTAAAAATTCTGGGAGAAAGCTTCGGATTGATCCCTGAAAAATACAAGGAGAACTTCGACATTTCGTGCGAAGGCTTCGACATGTATTGTTAGTGTTTGTATACATCGTACTTTACCTTTACTGATAAATATAATCTCCTCAAGAATGAGTATAATATATATGTGCTTTAAAATTTACATTTAACTCTCCTGCCAGAGTTTATGGTATACGTAGTGTTAGGTACGACAGTATAAAGGTCAAATACGAGTATTTTATTCAAACTAATAAAACTATTACAGTACAAGTCGCTTCGCCTTCCGCTCGAAACGTTGAAGTTCTCCTTGTAATTTTCAGGTACTTGTTTCCCTATCAATCCGAAGCTTTCGTACATATTTCCCCCAGTATTTCTATTTATTTTCAATTCGATTTCAGGGTAAAAAGTAGCTGATTTTCGACGAGAAATTCTAAATACTTTGTTTATATTTTGCAACAATTGCTAAGCATGCGTAGAGCTCACGTTGGAAATCCAACGTGCTATCTACCGCTAGCCAATCAGCGCCCTGAATCAATTCGATTTCTCCAGAGCTATGCCCACCCTTAACCTGCGAACGGGCACGTTCGGTGAACGAGATTGACAATGGCGCAATCTTGCTTGATTAGTTTGTATTTGTTTTTCTTTTTTTCAAATTCAAAATGGTAGATATATTTTGAATTTCATCCTATAAACCAAATAAAGTCATTTTAATATGTAAGAATCGTTTGCAATTTCAAAATTTAACACACCCCCTCTTTTCCTTTCGGGAAACAAAAAACTACCCCCCCCCCAAAATAGCCATATTTAAAAAATTAACCCCTCCCTCAAAAACCACCGCCCCCCCTGAGACGTAATAAACGATCGGTCCCTAAGCGATCATTTTTCACAATTTTGTATCCTAGACTCCATTACCGTCAGACAAAACATCCAAAAACGTAAATATCGTGACTATTCATCATTCTCCGATACTTTATTTAAGAACTTTCAGAGATAAATTGGGATTTTGTCGTAATGGAACCAGAGAATAATTCTAACAAGTTATTTTCGACTTTTTTTTAATAAAGTAAATAAACTAATAAATAAACATGCTCCTATCAAGACCATTTCTAGGCGTAAAGCAAAACAATTATCCAAGCCAAGGGTAACTAGAGGAATAAGGGCTTCTATTAAAGTTAAAAATAAGTTATTTCACACAAATAATGTAACTCAGTATAAAATATATAGAAACTATATTGTTACTTTACTCCGAGCCAGCAAAAAATTGTACTATGAAAAATATTTCAACTTGAATCACACAAATATGAGTAAGAAATGGGAAGGAATAAGGGAAATTTTAGGACGTAGCCGTAATAATAAAAATAATATTGGTGCCATGCGACAGGATTCTACTTCTCGATTAACATTTGATCCTAAAAATATATCTAACATCTTGAATAAACGTTTTGCTACATGTGGACAAAGATTAGCTGCTAAAATGCCACATTCTGAAAAACATTATTCTGATTACCTTCAACATACAAATAGCCTTAACTACACATCTCAACTAGATTCATTTGTTTTCATTCCGATAACTGAAAGAGATATTGAACTTGAAATTATCACACTACCAACCAAAAAAGCTGAGGGTTTATACTCATGCCCTTCGAGGATTATTAAATGTGCAAAAACATTCTGAGCAAACCTTTGGCAGATATTTTTAATCGTTCGATTGAAACTGGAATTTATCCTAATAAACTCAAAATTGCGAAAATAATTCCAATTTACAAAGCGGAGGATGAAACTGAACCGAATAATTACCGACCCATATCTCTTTTATCGGTATTTAATAAAATTTTTGAAAAAATCATGTATAAACGTTTAGACAAATACCTAAATATGAAAAATATCTTGTGTCCCTCACAATATGGTTTCCGTCAACAACATTCTACACAACATGCCATTCTCGACATTGTTAACAAAATCCAAACTAACATGGATAATAAACTTTATTCCTGCGGTATATTTATAGACTTGAAGAAAGCCTTTGATACGGTAGACCACGATATACTGTTGGGTAAATTAAATCATTACGGTATTAGGGGAGTGGTAAATGACTGGTTCTCTTCCTACTTAAAAAAACGCTCTCAAACAACTCTGATTAGAAACTGTGTATCTGATAGAGAACCACTTTGTGTGGAGTACCTCAAGGATCAGTCCTTGGGCCTCTACTTTTTTTAATATACATAAACGATATTTCTGAGTCATAAAACGTTTTTAATTTTTTTCTTTTTGCGGATGATACCAACCTACTATATGCTAATAAAAACTTGAAAACACTTGAATCTGTTGTAAATTCTGAATTGAATAATGTTTGCAAATGGCTTAATGCCAACAAACTGACGCTTAATATAAAAAAGTCAAATTTTGTTATTTTTCGCCCACACCAGAAATCAGTAAATTATCATCCAGTAATTAGCATGTATGATAATAATTCTAAGCAATACACACCACTCGAATGCAAAGAATATATAAAGTATCTTGGTATCATTATTGATTTCCACTTAAGTTGGAAGCATCACATTGACTATATTGCATTAAAGATTAGTAAAAATGTTGGGATTATCTCAAAATTGCGATATTTTATTCTAAATCATACCGTACTAGATATATATAGGACCATAATTTTACCTTATCTTTCGTATGGACAGTCTGCATAGGGAAATGCTGCCAAGTTTCACATTAACAAACTTCTAATATTACAAAAACGCGTTTTACGTCTGATGTATTTTAAATCATTTGATAATCATGCAATTCCCTTGTTTGTTTCTTCAAATTCTCTTCCTATTAATATGATGTATATCGAAGAATCTGCTAACATGTTATACGATACTATCAACCAGAGATTCGCCAACAACTCTACAAGAACTTTTCAAAAAAACATCTGAGGTTCATAATTATAATTCAAGAGCGGCGAAGAAAGATAATTTTTATATAAAATATTCTCACCTAGAGCTTCAGAAATGTTCGTTTTCTCGACTTGGTGCGGAAATTTGGAATAGTATTGACCAGGGCCTTCGCTCAAAAAGTAAAAAGATATTTAAACAAAAAATGTGCCAGGCCCTCTTTACAATTCTTACAACTGAGAATCACTATGTTGATGTGCCCATGATAATAGC